ACTTTAAAAGAATCTCAGGGTTCATTAAGAATAAACATCAGTTCCTTAGAACAGATGCAATGACTGTTGAACACAATAGCACTGAAATAGAATCCACCTGGTGTGTTTCAGGGATGCTAATTTAGGTTGCTGTGTAATAAAACTACAGATTTAAGCAGCAGGGAAGTTTGGGAAATCATTTGCTAGATTTTTTAATACTTTTGTTAAGGAATATATTTAAAATGTGCTTGATAATCTTGGTGGGGGAAGTAAGACGCATGCAGCCTGGCACTGGACCATCCAACCGCCGGCAGTCAAGCCATAAGAAAGGATAAGAAGAGATGGGGACAACTATAGTGGCATAACGTGAATCGGGGAGTTGGGTGGGATGTCAGTCTAGCGCAGCAGTTCTCAGCTATTGCCCGACTCGGGACCTGCCTTAACCCCCAAGTGGAAGCATGGTACTCACCAAGCTCCGAGCCCATCATGTGATATTCCATTGCAGTTAGTTTGTAAACACCACAAAATCAATCTGGGATATCTAGTCCCCCCCCCCCCCGCAACAACTGTCTCTTTTAACCTTCTCTCTTATAAAAAGAAACTCTGAGACAGAGGTTTTGTGTTTGTTAACAGAGTGGCCCAGTAAGACTTTTTGTGCCATATAAAAGACGGAAAAAGGAAAATGAATTGCCTGCAACTCCAGCAAAGAAAGATTCTCCCAAAAATATTACCCTGCTTCCTGCAACTGCTGCTACTACCTGTAAGCCTTTCATGGAATGAACGTATTTGTCAATTATGTTTTGTCTTTCAGAGGAGTTTTGCTTATTGAAATACTGAAGGAGGGTCATATAGCTCATTAGTCGGTGGTTTTTGTTTTTGTTTTTTGCTTTATCTTCCCTTTTTGCTTCTGTCACATTAGGCGAGTGAAGCTGCGTTCTGTTTTTGGAGCCAGCAGTCAGTATTTTGTCTTCCTGGTTCTGAGTCCTTTACAATGTTTCAAGAAAGTGCCAATAAAATATTTTCTACAGAAGTCTGGACTTTTGTTTCTAATTTTTGTTTTGACTTGTAAGTAAAGCCAGGATTCTTTTTTTCAATTATTTTTTTTTTAGTCACCGTGACTCCTTCAGGGCAGATCACTACCTCAGGCACTCTGACCTTCGACCGTACTTCAACTGTTGAGGCCACAGCCATTATCTCAGAAAGTCCATCCCAGGGTGATGTTTTTACTGGAGCCACTGGTAAGTAACATAAACTACATTCATATGTTCACACATACATTCGAGATACGGTCCAGGGCTATTTTTGGGCAGGAACGCACAGGAACGGAGTTCCGGCTGTCTTCAGAGTTGGCCACGCCCACTACAGCCAAAACCTCTGTGCGTGTGGCTACAGAGGGAAGGCCTGGAGAGCGACACCCCCAGTGACTCCGAGGCGGTTGGGCCGGGGGGGGGGGCTGAAAGGATCAGGGAGGCATTTCCCCGGCCTGTCCAAGGGCCAGCTTGCCTGGGCTCCCCGCAGTTTAAACTGCCTTCCCTTCCCTTCAAGGGGGGGGGGTTGTCTGGGCTCCCTGCAGCAGCAGGGCGCCCGGACAAGCCAAAGGAAGGCATGGGGGTGTGGCCTAATATGCTAATGAGCCGTGGTGTAGCCTAATGTGCTAATGAGGTCCTGCTGGGCTTTTTCTACAAAAAAAAGCCCTGGCGATACCTATGGGGAATTGTGGATTCCTAATTCTAGAATTTCTGGATAAAATAATTACATCTAGAGATGCTCATGTGACTAAATTGACTAAAAACAATTATTGTGGCATCGTTCAAATTCATGTAAAATCCAAATCAAGAGATAATTTTTTTTTCTTCAGGAGTCCTGATTCTGTTTATTGTTGCTGTTTTTCCCCCTACCCAGTAGTACAAGACACAAATGTTCAGCAGCCGTGCCGGGTCAGTCATCCAGAGCCTCACTACCCAACTTATCAGGACAATTGTCAGATTTCCACTTTCCCAGAAGCAGCATTGCCAACGTCACATCCCAAAATTGGTAAGATTCCACCAGACTTCAAAATAATTCAACCTGTCTAATTTCAGCTAACCACTGCAGCTTTATTCCATGAGAGACTGACTCAGGGAAAGAAATTGCTTTTCTTTATTTTATAGAATTTAAGTTCCACTTTTCTACTCTAGGAGCTGCAGTGGCTCAGGTGGTTAAGACACTGAACTGCAGGCTGTGGAAGGTCAGTAGTTCAGCAGTTCGAGACCCGGGTGCCCCATGATGGAGTGAGCTCCCATCTCTGGTTCCAGCTCCTGCCAACCTAGCAGTTTGAAAGAAAGACATTGCAAGTAGATAAATAGGGACCACTTCGGTGGGAAGGGAACAGCATTCCGTGCGCCTTGGTGTTTAGTCATGCTGGCCACATGACCACGGAAACGTCTTCGGACAGCGCTGGCTCTTCGGCTTTGAGACGGAGATGAGCACCGCAACCCTAGAGTTGGATTCGACTGGCTTCCGAGCAAGGGAAACCTTTACCTTTACTTTTTTCTACTCTAAATCAGGGCCACCAAGACAGCTAACCGATTAATAGCACACAAAATGAAAACATGTGTTAAAAACCATTCAACCAAAGAAAAACACACCATGAAAACAATGAAAGCCAAGCTAAAATACAAGTACAAAAACACCAAGCAGTAGTTAAAGCATAGGTCAGGAAGCAGGAGGTCACTGGGAGACGGTCAGTTGAAATGAAAAAAAGTCTTAACCTGATGGTGGAAGGTGGCAACAGAAAGGGGACAGGTGAGTCTCTCTGGGGAGAGAGTTCCAGAGTCTTGGTGCCCAAACTGAGAGGGTCCTCTCCTATGTTGCTACCTGCCTCATCTCAGAGGGCAAGGGTATGCAAAGCAGGGCCCTGGAAGATGACAGTAGTGGTCAGATTTCATGTGGAAGTTGACACACATTTCAAGAACAGCTCCACGTAGAGTTCATTGCAGTAACCTAGATGTAACTGAGGCATGCACCACAGGGGCCAGCAGAAACAGACTGGAAGCCAGTGTAGATGGGCCAAGGGTACCGTGATATGGTCCCTACGACCCACAGCAGTCAACAACCTGGTTGCACTATTCTGCACCAATACCAGTTTCTAAACACATTTCAAGAACAGCTCCACGTAGAGTGCATTGCAGTAATCTAACCTAGATGTAACCAAGGCATGCACCCCAGGGGCCAGATCTTTCCTGCCCAGGAAGGGCTGCAGCTGACTAACCAGTCAAAACTGGTAAAAGGCACTCCTGGCCACAAGCTGCCACCTGCTTATTTAGCAGAGGCCTGGGCTCAAGATCACTCCCAAACTTTGGACCTGTTCCTTCAAGGGAGTGCAGACGCATCCACACCTTAAGTCCCCAGTAGCACTTCTGTCTGGTTAGGAATAGACTTCAGTTTATTAGCTAGCTTTCACTCCAGAACTGCCGCCAGATACTGGTTCAGTGTTTTTATTGCTTCCCTGTGATCTTCTGGAAGTGCAAGATGGAGATTAGTGTTATCCACGCATTGGTGGCAGCCCAACTCAAATCTCTGGTAGGGGTGTGCAAAAAATAAAAATAAAAAATCAGCCCATTCGGATTCGGCCGAATGGGGCAGAATCAATTTCGGGGGGCAATAAGACTCCCACATGACAGTTTAGTCAGTACCAGCCAATTCGGGAGTCTTTCGGCCAGCCGAATGTCAATTTCAGCCCCATTATATCCTATGGGCCATTGAAGTCAATGGCAAAAACATAGGGTATATTCTGGGGGCTGGAGGGGAGGGGGCTTGAGGGAGAGACTCCAAACTCGCAGGGTAGCTGCTGGAGCCTCTCCCCAAGATACCAACCAAATTTCTAGAGCATTGGACCAGGGGGTCCAATTCTACGGGCCCCCAAACAGGTTGCCCCTATCCCCTCCATTGTTCTCTATGGTGGGGAATCTTCTTGGATGTTGTCTTCTTTCTTTTCTTCATCTCCTGTTGGATTTTGTTGTTGTTCCCAAAAGTCTTTAGCTTTCTGGGCAGAACTGATCATCTTCTTTTCGTTGCGTTTAAATATCAATCCTTCTGGGAATATCCATCTGTAGGGAATGGAATTTTTATGTAGAAAAGAGGTTAAGTCCTTATATTGTCGCCTTCGTTTCCTTATCTCAAATGGAATATCCTTTAAGATTCTTGCTTCTTCGCCTTTGACTTTTAGGGTTTTCCCAGTTGTCGCTTTCAGAACTGTGTCTCTGGTAGATCTTTTGGAGTATTTGACAAATATTTCACCAGGTAGTTTGTTTTTCTTTGTAAAGTCTGGATAGGTTCACTAGGCCAAGTCCATATCATTTTGCAGTAAATCCTGTTTGAGTTCTGTCACTGGTGCTAATACCTCGCTTAATACTTCTTTTTTCTCCTTTCTGCTCTGGGATACCCTGGAAGTGTAGGACATACATTGATCTTTCCATTTGAAGCGGTAAAAGTTGTTCTTTATCTGAAATTTGCTCTTTTTCCACTGCCTTCAGTTTCTGCTTAATATCAGTTGTTTTTGCATCCATTTTCTTTATGGCTTTATCAGCACCATCTACCCTTTTGTCAATTCCCATCAATTGCTTTTGGAAACCATCGAGTTTATTGTTGATACTAGACATCTGATCCAGCAGGGGGCTCAATGCCATTGCCAACATGTTAGGTCAGTAGCTACTTCCGGCATATGAGTAGGAGTTGCTATCTGGGTAGTTCTAGACTGTCCTCAGACTCATAATCACTTTTGTCTTCTACATGTATGTTGTCCTCTGTTTTTCCTTTGCCTTTGGCCGCTCCTTGTTGCTGTTCCAAGAAAATCTTTGCTTTCTGGGCAGAGTCAATTTTCATCTTTTTATCATTATAGTTGAATGTAAGTCCTTCTGGGAATGTCCATCTGAAGGGAAAGGAATGATTATGCAGGAAAGAAGTTAAATTGTTGTATTGTCTTCTCTGTTTTCATATCTCAAATGGAATGTCTTTCAAAATCCTCGCTTCTTCGCCTTTAATTTTCAGAGGGTTCCCAGTTGTCACTTTCAGAATTGCATATCTAGTTGATCTTTTGGAGAATTTGACAAATATTTCACCAGGTAGCTTATTTTTCTTAAGTAAGTCAGGGTAGGTTTGATAAACCAGGTCCATATCATTTTGTAGTATGTCCGCTTTAAAATCTACCACTGGTGCCAATGCTTCACTTAATATTTCTTTTAAATTCTCCCCTTTCTGTTCTGGGATACCTTGAGAAAGTAGGACATACATTTATTTCTCCGTTTGCAGCTATAGTAAATGCTCTTTATCAGAAACCCACTCTTTTTCCATGACCTCCAGTCTCTGTTTAACATAATCTGTCAACATCAACGTTTAATAACTTTATCTGTTTCATCTGCTCTTTTGTCTATTCCCATCAGTTGTTTCTGGAAACAGTCAAGTTTGTTATTGATGTTAGACATCTGGTCCAGCAGAGGGCGCAATGCCACTGCCATCATATTAGGGAAGTCAGTAACTACTTCCGGATTAAGAGTAGAAGCCACTGAATGGGTAATTCCTGGAGAGGGTCTTTTTTCAGCACCATTTTCTCTCCTCTTCCCAACTGAAAGTTCATCTATTTCACTGTGCTTTAGGCTATTTTGTAGCCCGTTTTCTTAATTTAGGATTTTCTTTCTGCCACCATCACTTTTGCTTTCAAACTGTCACTCAAGTACTGCTGCTTTTCATGAGGGGGGGAATCCCATCTCCACCCCTCCCTCTACATCAATTTGATGCTTTAAAGCTGTTTCTCTGTTTGCTGGCTCAAGTACCTTAGGGGGATTTGCTTAACTCACAGTTAATTCAGTCGCTTAGTCACTTCTTCAAGCTGGATCACTTGCCTGCATCGTCTGGTGTGCGCCTCTGTGCACCATTTTGGCCTCGTGGCAGCATGACCTCTCAGAGTAAAGAAGTGCCTCAATTCCTTGGCTGTCGCCTTGGAAGAGGCACCCCTCTGCACCCCAGGCAGAGAGCTCCCTGCGAGAGCTCCAGGGGGGAGGGGGCTTGGAATCATCCAAGTCCCCTCCTGTCCGCCATCCCTTGGAGCGTCCACATTAGAGCTTAGTGGGACACGTCTGACCCGTGAATTGCCAAAACTGGAACAGCCGTATTCTACAGATCTTGAGAAACATGGCCTTGCAGATATGGAGCCTTGCAGGACTCCAAAGGCAATCCCCTAGCACCACCATCTAAAGCCTACACTCTAGGTAGGTTTTGATTTCTGAGTCAAAGAAAACTATGCTTGCTTTCTGTGTTAAATCCAGGTAGTCAGCCGTGTTGGCCTGAAGCAGTAGAACAAATTTAGAGTCCAGTGGGGCACCTTTAAGACCAACAATGGTTTATTCAAGGTATGAGCTTTTGTGTCCGTGCACACTTTTTCAAATACAATGGAATGGGAGGTCAGGTTCAAACTTATAGACGGGCTGAATAGTTTGGTGTAGTGGTTAGGTGCACGGACTCTAATCTGGGAGAACCGGGTTTGATTCCCAACTCCTCCACTTGCACCTGGCTGGATGACTTTGGGCAAGCCATAGTTCTGATAAGAACTGTCCTTGAAAAAGAGCAGTTTCTGTCAGAGCTCTCTCAGCCCCACCGACCTCACAGGGTATCTGTTGTGGGGAGGGGAAGGGAAAGGGGTTTGTAAGCCGCTCTGAGACTCCCTTGTGTAGTGAAGGGCGGGGTATAAATCCAATCTCTTCTTCTCTTCAACAGCAAATTAACATGTAACATGATGAAGATGCTTTAGGATATGCGAAAACAGAATTAAATAGCAAGTTAAGGTTATAAGGTCAACAGCTGTAAAGCAATAAATATGTCAACACAAGTCTGAGACTCTCCATTCACTCCTAGAGCATGGAAGTCAACAGCATTTTTACTTTCTTTTCTGAGGTGGGAGCAGTGTATGTCAGCCAAACATTCCAATATTCCTTATATTACATTTAGTATTCTAATATACTATTCTGAAAAAGAAATTCACTAAAATACAGAGAATGTAT